TCTGAGATGGAAGCGCCCAGACAGTCATGCCTCAGAACATGTTCCCCTGCTGCTTGGAAACATACCTGTATTACTGCGGGTCCCCAAACCATTAATTACCAAACCCCATGCAAACTGGATGTTGCCATGGCAACCTGCAGGCCTACAGAAGGCTATTTGTCTCCTCCTTGACCTTTCAGGAGATCTGTATCTTGCTCAAGCCCCCTTCTCTAATCCGGTTTTTAAAATATAATATTATGCTACTGAAAGGGATCAGACCTTTAATCTGATTGTGCGTGCATGTGTCAGTGCATGTATGGGGGAGCGCCTGCATTAACAGGCACCCAGCAGCGGCTCGGAGACAAGACAAAGGAAAAGCGGAGTGTGACTCTGCCCTGCTGGGGCTGCAAGTGAGCACCTGGGTGGAATTATTGGCTTCAGCACACAGATGGGGGAATCCTCTCCATGGGAAGGACCGTCCCCTTAGCGTGGGCTCCTTCCCACCGAGGTCAGGCAAGAACTGTGCTTTTGCTGATGAGGAATTTTGCAGAGGGAATGCCGTCACAGCCATTTCGGTTTCCCTCCCAGTGAGCCTCCGTCCCTGCCTTCAGCTGCATTAGTCCCTGTGCCAGACCAAGCAGCCGAGTTTTACGTGTTACTACATGTATGTTGGTATCCCCAAAGTGCGTGTTCTGGATCTTGACCTGAGGTCCTGCAAGCTGGATATTCTTTTCCCAGTTGTATTCCCTCCAAGGGAGGGATCTTTAATCCTGCATTGGCTCTGCCTGCTGGAGCCCTGAGCCCGTGAATTTGTTGCCTGTTCTGTATATGACAGGATCACCGTGAGCAAGTTAGGTGCTGTGTAAACCCGGAGGAACAAATAGCCTTTTCCCCAAGAGACTTGCTGTCTTTTGAAAACACTGTCCTGTATTGCGAGCAAGTTGAACACACAGAGAATACCCTGTAACCTGGGCTGAGAGAGGGGGTCGTTTCTGCGCTGTGCCACTTGTTCAGGTCGCCCTTTGCACTGCTCGGCTCCGTGCATCGAGAGCCGGCCGCCCAGCCGTGTCTGCGAGATGGGCTTTGGTGGGTGCTGGGCCGGGCCTTTTTGTACAGAACGTGGGCACAAAAGTCCGGAGCCGACAGGAGCGAGGAATGAGGGATGAGACTGAGGAATCGGGGACCGGTTAGTCATAAGGGAATTGAAACACAGGGCGGAGGGCCAGCATTGCCGCCTGGCAGTGCCGGGACTGCCCGGCACAGGTGTGGGCACTAACCCGGCACAGGTGTGGGCATGAACCCAACACAGGTGCTCCCCATTCCGCAGAGCTGCCGGCATTTGCTGGGCAACTGGGCCGCTCTGCTGAGGGGAGAACGTTGTGCAGTGCACCGTTTGCCTTTGGAAGGAGGTAAGTGGTTTGTTGAGTTTTTTGGATAGCTGTTTTCTGTGGAGAAACGTGCTAGGATTTTTATGGCAAATGGACGACGCAGGGTTGAGGTAGATGTTTGCCTGCTTTGTGTTGTAGGGCTGGTGTTCCCCTTAGGGCTGGGGGCTAGGGCCTGGGCAGGACTGAGTTGCGAAGGAGTTTGGCCGGGCTGGAGTTGTAACTCATGTTTTGCAACTCCTCGGTATATGGACCAAGCAGATCTCCCAAAGCCTGGGGTATTCCGCTGTCTTTTGTCCTCCTGCTGGGCCAACCACCAGGAGACAACGTGATTTCAGGGTTGGGAGCGCAGTTGCAGTGCGCAGTCCAAAGTAGTGAGTGTGCAAAAGCAGGTAATTTCTGAAAATGGCTGGTAGCTGGGCAGAGCCCTCCTTCCTGGCTAAAGCACCGAGTAGACTGGTGGAGTACCTGAAGAACTGAGACTTGCTTAAAAGTTGAACTTTCACTACCTTTGTTAAAATGACATCGGGATGAAAGCAGTTAGTGGGACTTTGCTCCGTGGAGGTTCAGGAGGGTCTCTCGTAAAAAATTAGGTTTGTTTAGCATCTCATGCGGTCACGAGTGAGGTGAATTTGGCAGAGTTGTCAGCTGCAGAGCTAAAGCTGGTGTTTTATTCTGTTGATCCAACATGGTGGTAGAAAGTCCTCTGTGGTCTAAGCAGAGCCTTACACAAGTACATCCCTTACTAGAAAGTCCACATAATTACTGGAGTGTGGAGCTGTGTTTGCTGGGACCAGCTTGGCCTACAGTATTTAAAAAAAAAAATGCTTAATGTCTTCACCTACACAGAAAGATATCTCAGTTTTTCGTAAGAAGCTCTGGTTACCATTCACTCTCTTTTCTCGTACTAACACTGAGCCCCAGCTATAAGCTACCTCCCGTTGTGCCAGGCGTAGAACAAGCCAGAACAGAAAGGCAGTCTCTGCTTCAAACCTCCCATGCTCTAAGACAAAAGGAACAACTCTTGGGGACAGTTTGATCTGTTAAAAGCTGTCTCAGCCTGTTTGCCTTATCTCCAGTCTTTCTTCCCTTTCCTCCCAGTGTCACCTCTGTGTTCAGTTTGCCTTCTGCAAAGGTATTCTAGCAAAGTCATGTTTTCTTGGGATCCTGCCTAATTGTGTGAGTAGACTGAGTTGAATTCAAAGCCTGTAGAGTGTACCTATCAGCCCTGTGGTATCTGCTCACGTGTGGAGTTATGACTTGCTAACGCACCATTGCGTACCATGATGATTTTAATTTTAAGGCCACGGAAAATCTCCTAAAAACACAAGATTGTTGGGGAAGAAAAAAAAAAATCCCTTCTAGTGTGGTAATGTTTCCTTTCATGTAGATCTCCTGGTTTTAGTTTTCGGTGGCTATATTGCAGTGTTCTGCACTCTGTGTTTTGGAGAATCAAGTCATGTTAAGGAGTTGCTGTGCTCTTTTCCAGAAGGAGAGGCAGTTGCATTTTAGTGGTGGATAAAACAATTCCTTCTCGTGGCTCTCTTAACGTGTTTACATATCAGAGGTGCTTGGGGCTCGATTGGGATGCAAGACACTCTGCAAATGCAAAGATGTAATTATCCCATTTTTCTCTTCCTACTCCCTGCCTTTCTCCCTCTGCACTTCTGGCTCATCTCCTCCGCCCTTTCCTGAGCATTGTGCTGATGGCAGCGTTTATCTGCATTTGTCCTCTGTCCCTGACATCCAGTTATTGATTGGCATGATTAAAAAGAACTGATAATCACTTCACATTAATCCCATAAATGACTTAAGACACCAAAATATTTGCATAATGCATCTTAAAGGTGGCAGCTAAAAGAGGATAAGACCCAAAACTGCTTGGCACAGGAGAAATGGGCTTCCCACTCACCTGTGGGCTTGCTTAAGTAATTAGCCTTCTGCTTGCATAAGGAGGAATCTGAACTGGTTTAGCGGAGGAAGATGCAATGGGCGCTCAAAGGCTTTGAGATCCGAGCATCCCATCTCATTGCCGAGATTGGGGATGGGGGGAGCGCGCGGGGGGAGCAGCAGGGAACATGACAGCGGCTGCTGAAATGAGAGTCTGTTTTTGTCTGCTACATCTTGTGAAAATCTGGAGCCAGACACCCGCTGAAAGTACCTCTGTCTAAAGACTTTCTGTCATAAACTTATCTGATTAGCAGAGAGCTAGACGACGGATTAGCCCCTGCTTCTGCACTAGGGATGGGCTCTCTGGAGCATTTGAGCAGATCTGCTCCTGTTGCTGGTGCTGATAGCCTGTAGGTGGGGGTGCAGCAGGTGGGGAGGAGGTAAGGGGGGATAAGAGGGGGATATTTAAAGGAAGATCCTTGCTAGGTAATTCTGCAGATAATGCACCCTCCGTGTTGTCCTGCTGGTCCCAGGTGAGGACACTCTCCTCTGCACCAGTGAGTTGGTGGTCATGTGCTGTGTGTCACAGCAGCACAGAGTGGGTGCACTTGTCATGTGAGTAGAGGTTGGGAGGGAGCTGTGGATGCGGGAGGGAGGGCAATATTTCTAATATGTATAATTTTTTGTAAGTGTCTCTGGTTCTTCTGGCTGTCATCTTCCATTTAGAAAGAGGGGAGGAAGAAAAATAGCCACATTTAGCCTGGGGCAAGCACCTTGTGCTAGAAGGATGAGGGATTTAACATATACTGCAAACAAACAAAAGGGAGACGTTCCAGCATTTCCATTTAGTATCATGTATACTTTTTAGCTTGTTCTTCCTCTTCAGTGTTTGCGTATCATTTATTCAGAAATATTTTGCAAGTGGATAGCGGTTTGCAAGCAAAAGCACTTGCCAGCTGAACCGCAGTGTCTGCTACAGTGAACGTCTTTTTGCGTTCTCCCTCTCCGTAGAAGGAGGGGAGAAGAAAAAGACTAAACTAGCCTATTTAGCAGCAATCCGGTGCAAGGATAACAGGCAAAATAATGCTGAACTGCTCTAATGCATTCTCTTTTCCCAGAAGGAAGAGAGCATTGTTTCAGGATCTGCTAGAGTGAAGAGTTGAAAATTAGTTTTGTAAATAAATCTGTACCCTCCGCTCTGAGTAATGCCAGTGTCCGGGTTTGTGGTGGGTTTCTCTCTAAAAAGAAAAACTACTATTCAAGTAAATAAAGTAGTCTTGTGTTCCAACAATGATGGAATGGAAAAACTTACTTTTTTTAAGAATAGAAGGGTGGCAACTGATAGAAAACTATCAGTTATTTCAGTTCAAGTTTCCTATTAATTCTGGAATAGATCTGCCAATTCCTACACTTTCAGTTTTTCCATCTGAGATGTAAGTTCTGGCCCACGCAAGTTATATCTGGCAAAACTGAAATCAGGAGCGCTGGCAGCTGCAGAGTCCTTTATGGGAAATGAGAGTGCTGTTTGGGAAGTGCTTTGCACTTAGTCTCCACTCCCCAAAACTAGAGGAGGTTACCTAGGAACCTGATAGGTAGGAGGGGGAGAACCTTTCTTGAAATACAGCTATGTCAGGGGCAAACAAAAGAATCTTGCGTGCGCACACACATACACTCATACACACAAAAATCAATTATGTGGTGGCAAATAGGATTTCCTTAACTTGGTGCTTTTCTGCTCTGTTGCAGCCGTGATAACGACCTTTCCACTATCATCTCCAACCTGCATCAGAGCCGTCAGCTCGTTATGCCAGAGACCCAGAGCCGCTGTGAATTCAAGAGAAACAGCATTGACGTTGGCTTAGGAGCAGCAGGTAAGTGGCTGCAGCAGGTCCTGCTGGTTTGGGTTTGTTGACTTCCCTCCTCTCTCTTTCACTCCCTCATTTGTTCCTTTTTTCAGCAGCTGTTCTTTCTGTGGCTGTTTGTGTTACGCTTTGGAGTGAGCTATATGAAGGCTTTTAATATTCTGGCTAAAGATTAACATGGAAAAGATTTCATGGAGATGTTAAAGTCCTTTTGAGATCTCAGCCCTGTGTTATTCTCAAATCCAGCAGTCTGTGTTAAACTACTGGCAAAGGAGCTTGCGCTAGCAAAGAAGTGAAATGTCCCCAGGGTTACTGTCAAGTGAAGCAGAAAGGCCTTGCAGAGAGCATGGTTTGATTTGTAATTTCATTAATCAGAGGTTCCCCGTGCTGCCTCTGCGCCTGCCAACTCCTTTGTGAGCATGATTGTTTGGTTTTGTAGTACAATCTGGGTTTTGGGGGGAAGTTCACCTGGTTTCAACTTAACATAGTGAAACCAGAAATGCTCCTCGTGGATCCCGCACCATGCCTCCCTGGATGTCAGTAAGGGAGCTATGGGCAAGGATGCTTTGGTGGTAGATATGCATCAGTCGGCAAGCGAGGCACTGGTAATAGCCTAGAGATCTGCTTGTTGTTGGCAGAATCTACAATTTACTTTTGATTATAAATAAAAGTTGAGGAAAAACTGGGAGTTATGCTGGTTTTTATACTGAGCGATCCCTGTCCTTCCAAATCAGAATTGGATCTCTCTGTGTATGTTAATGTAGGCCTTTCCTGAAAATCTGTGTGTTTGTGGCTTTGTTTGTATTTTCTTGTAAGTCATTCTGTTGACTATGTAACTTAACCCTGGATCTGAAGGGAACATCACATCTGATACGCTTTGGGAATGTCTTTGGAGAATATTCAGTAACATGACAGGGACCTGGTCTGCCTTTTGCATGAGGCTTGACCCCTTTCCAGAAAGGTTCCTCCTGCCTGCAGTGAAATTTGTACTGGTGTGACTACTTTTGCAGTAGAGTGTTCAGTCCCATATATGTGTTGTGCTGAACTGGGGGATCTGTGGTACGTCTGTGAAGCAGCCTTGGGCAGCTCCCAGTCTTTGCTTTCACAGCTGAATCTCCGTATTCTCTTCATTAACTGATCTCCGCAGCCCCTTTTCCTACACAGCTCGAAGAGCCAAACTGGCCAGAGAGGTGTTTTTCTGTGTGACCTTGCTTGAGTCTATATGTCTCAGCTGACCCTGTATGTTAAAATGGGTTTGAATGTTGTTTGCTTTACAGAGAAACTGCTGGGCTTGGTCAGTGTTGCTGAAATTCTTTGAGATCCATAGCATTCCAGAAATGTAAAGGCTGCTTTTCATTCCCATCAGCGTTAAGCAGTAGAAAAGATTGGATGTAGAAGTCCTCATTCTTATTTGTTAGAATTTATGTTTGAGGTTCTCTGGTTAGCTTCTTAACTGTAAGAAACACTAAGAAATATAAATTGTAGGCACTGCACACATGTTGTAGCAGTGAGGACAGCAGTGCTTGGCTAGGACCTCAGTGAAAGTCTAAGCAATGAAAAAGGAGGTGGCTCATTCACACCCGAGGTCACCAAGCAAGTGACAGAGCTTTTCGGGACATGATAGATTTGATGTGTCTAACGAGTTGACCAGCAAAAGAGTACGTGGGGGGATGGTGGGGAGATTAGGTAACTAAAGGAGAGGGGCCATTGTCACATCTCCACAGGGACAATTTAACTCTGATTTTTCCCCCCGCTGTCTGGAGCCAGCTCACTCTACATGTTTGTTTGATTAAGGGAAGACTCATTTGCCAAAGTCTATGCAGAACCTGCAATCTCTGACTTTAGAGCATGTGCTGAACTGGTACCTATGTCACCACCTCAGGGACGTGCAAGTCAAGGGAACAGAAACAAAATGTGCTGGGATTTGTAGCTGATGCCGATTATTGGGTTTATGTCTTGGTTCTGTTTGTTTTTACTGGCAGGGGTGGGAGGGAAGTATGGTATAACTAATTGCTACATATATAATTTTAAGAGAGTTAGTGTTGGGTTAGTCTGAAAGGTTGTTTAAACCACTTAGAACAATAAGGGAAAAAGAAATGTGTCCCCAGTTGTCTGCTGTTTGCGTTGTATGCCTTTGAGAGCAATACTGTGTATTTGGGTTATGAGAATCTCACACTCAGAAAGGCATTTGGAGATGGACAGTGCTGAATAAATTATGTTAATGCTGATATGTTTAAAAACTCCCGCATCGCTCATGACTGTAAGCTGCGGTGCTCTCAAAGTAAGTTGGAATCTGCTGCTAAAATGTTTTCTGTTGCTGCTTTAGCATTTATGGTTTGAAGTTAGGCATACAGTCCCAGCCAGTAGAGGCTGAACACTCTGGAGGCTGCTCTGCAGCTCAAACTGCAAATTCTACATGTGCAGGGTGAGGGGTGAGCGCATACTGCTAAAACAGGATTCAGAAATATATGTGGCTTCTTGGCTGTGGCTGAGGCTAAGCAGAAGATTGAGAACAAGGGTAGCACAAATGGAAGAGATTTGCTTATTGCAGGGCCCAGGGGGTTAAGAAGAGGGTTGAAGTTGGCAGGGTTGGTTGGTTTATGATTAATTCTGTGAGGGAGTTCCTTGATTTATAGTTAAAACCAGGATTAGAGGCAGTGCTATAGTTTCAAACAGCATGGACTGGAAAATTAGAAGTATTACTGGATCTTCAGTGGCCTTTGAAATGTAGAAACTAATGGAAAATAATGGTGTATAGTTAGTTCTGGGGCTTTTATGAGTTCTGGGAGATAGGTGAGACTAGAGTCAGGGTTCAAGTTAGAGCTGGACTGATGTTCAGGTCACAAGGGGCTGAAGAGACTGATGTATTGCTGGAACATACACGGTCTTTCGTTGGAAGAGCAGCACTGATATTAATATCCTTGGAAGGGTTATGGATGATTTTTAAGTGAAAACAGGTCACTTTATGTCAATGGTGATGGTTATATTTGGGAACAGAGATACTGAAGAGCTTAGTTTGGGAGAGCAGAAGCTGAAAGACTTAGAAAATAACCGGGTCCCGAAAGCCTCGGGTAGGGTTTGGCCCTGACTGGGAAAGGATTTAATAACCCACCTCAGTGGGTGTAATAACCCACGGTGGTGGGTGCTAGCCATTTGGAACAGTAGGCCTAGAGGAGGTGCAGTCTTAGGGCTTGGGATAGCTGGGACAAAAAAAGTCACTGTATTTTGGATCTTGTGAGGCCCAAAGAGCTAGGAAGAGTCTGGAGTCAGCAAAACCAAATGGCTATGCTATCTGTTGTGTCACTTAGGTGTGATTAAGACCAGTGTAGTCATTGTGACATGTTGGTAAGCTGAGCATCTACAGAAAATGGGGCTAGCAAATCTGAGAGCTACAGTGCTTTGAAAATACGCTTATCATAAAAAATGGAAAGACTGTTATTGCTAGCCTACAGTGATAAAGGGGAAAGGGAGGTAGGTATGTTGCCAGCAAGTAAAGTTTCATCAGAAATGTTGGACAAAATGCATAATGCCTTCCACCAGTTTTCGAGTACGTTGTAGAGGTGCATGAGTCAGCTGAAACACAAAAAGGCAAATTTGCCTGAGATCATAAAGCGAATGATGACTGAACAAGAGAGCTCAGTTTCCTGCTTTGTCCTCCCTAACTTCTCTACTAGACCTCTGTGTTGCTGGTCCACTGTGACAATATGGAATAGATGTGGATTATAGCCTACTTCTAGAGATTCAGCATATGAGAGATTTGGGGGTGGGGGTGGTGTTCCCCCCCTGCTAGTGTGTGTACTGAAGCAAGACGTCTAGATAAAAATAGCTGACAGCTTAACTCGTGTTTGAAGTGTCCCCTGATACTGGACCTTTAAAGGAAATAAAGAATACCAATGGCAAAAATCTACAAAAAAAGCAAAAATCTGCTCCAGCCGGTGCTTCTCAGTAAGACATCTGGAAACCCAGAATGGGCAGGGGTAACTGAGGCTTTTGCGACAAGAGCAGAAGTAGGTGGCCGAGAGGCGTGTACTGATAAAATCTAATTGCCCTATCGATTGGCTTCGGAGCCACCGTCAGCTGTGGTAATGATTGAGATATTCTTATGTGTTTGATGCATGTTAGCTGTATCTCGCTGCTCTGGGTCCACTGGGGACCTTAAGGTATTACAGAGATCTCTTAATCATGGAGCAAACTTGCGTGTGTTAGGCCTGCTCTGTGGCACCACAGATTTATTACAATTACCGCTGAGGCACTTGGATTTCCTTAGGTCCCGGGGGTCCTGGGTTTCGGGAAGAGCTGCCCTGTTTGTAACTCTGAATTCTTAATTGGCCGAGGAAATCTATCTCACTGGTTTAGGATTTTACCCATCTGCACCCTTTCTCGCACTATTCTTCCTTCCTTCTCATCTGGGTTGACTGTTGACAGTATCATGTCCTCACGCATTTTAAGAATAGTAAACTTCTGCTTTCTCTGCCTCTCTGTGACTGGGAGTGGAGGTGCTTGTGCTTGCAAAATAGAGAGCACTGGTTTCCGTAGTCCCTGGATAGATGTCTGTTCACCAAATGGTAGTGCAAATTTCCAAGTGTGCAAGTGTTCATTGTTTCCAACACAGACTGAAAGAGCAGTAAATTCTTGTGGAGGATCAATGAATATAGTGAAAAGGAAGGGCGCTTGCTTCTCTGCCATCTCTGTTGCTCATCGTTGATCAAAATGATATCTAGCGCCTCTTTTGAAGTCTAGGTTATGTCTACGCTGGGCTAATATCCAGCTGCTACGTTTAATCCGCTCCTACTTCTCTGGCCAGTGTTGGACCTTTATTTTTTTTATTTTTTATTTTTTTTAAACCTGGGGCTAGCTGATCCAGCTGTTGAGTGGTAACGTTGGCTCTTGGCCAGAGAGATACTCCCTTTGCAGAGAAGAGAGGTGAGCTGCTTCACCTAAGTGCTGACAGTCTGCAGGACTGCAGTTGAGGGGAACATACGTAGAGCCTACCTGGAAAAATAAGCTCT